AAAATATATAAAAAACAAAAAAACAAAAAACCTTGGCGCTAGACGGTTTTCAGAATTCAGAATATTTTAGACTTTAGGAAGACTGTACAGTGCACAGTTTATAGATTACATAAGACCACGGAAGAGTCAGGGCAGCCCCATGCAATCAAACATACTAATATCTCTGTTTCCTGTGGTGTAACATGTGAAACGTCATACTAAGTAGGATGACTGAAAACTGCAAGCAGCCTCACATTAGACTAAGTCAGGTTTTGCTGCCAAACAAGTGATTACAAAGTACTTTTTGTTTTCAGAGCTTTGCGGATTTTGAAACAGTGGATAAGAGAGTGGGCTCAGGAATTCCTTTTTATTTGACCACTTACTGGATAGGGGTTGGTAAGTGCGGGATTTAGCATTAGCTATGATACCTTTTGACATCTTTGTAGTTGGTGTCCTCTATATATTGCCCTTTTCTGTGGTGTGATTAATTCTATTTTTTTCCTAAAGCAACAAGAGATAATCATCTGAGAAATAAATCATGATAGCATTCTAAGCATATTTTTTCTTTCCCTTTCTTTTACCATACTGTATCAACTTTTCTCTGTGTTTCTTAAAGAATGGGATATGAGACATTCTTTTTACTATCCATTTAGAAATAATACATTTGGTACTTGAGCTCTATAGGCTCCTGTACTTAAAAGAAGTACATAGAAGACTTAAATGTGTAAGACTTCTATTTTTATAGCGAACAATGATAGAAAAACTACTCTGTGCCAGGCACTGTGCTTGGCCTTCTGTAGTATGACATTTGACACTCACAGCAACCCTGTAAAGTAGGTGTCATCTCAATTTTACAGGAAACTGAAGCTTAGTAGATTAGGAGACTCGCCCAGGGTTGGACAGTGGAAGATCTGGGATCTGAACCCACTATCATCTCTCTCCCTCACAATGTTCCATTACATCTACTCCCTCTTGATGTGATAATCTGGATCTATGGAACCATTAAAAGTTCATGTATATCTCTATTTCTACAACTATATCTATCTGTATATCTATTTATTCATTGTTATGGTACAAACCAAGAGAAAAGAGAAAACATGACTTTACAAATTGGTCAAGGTCGTTTGGTGCCCCATTCCCGGATTCTTCCCAATCCAACTCCAACCTCCCTTCCTCCTGAAGCTTTCTTAACTCACCACCCTCCCTGTCCTGAATACCTGTAGTTGGGGCCACACAGAACACCACCTGTCCATGTTCTCCAGTGGTTTTGCTACGTAAGCTCTTGCTCCCAGACACAACTCTTTCTCCATTGCCTCTCCCATTCTGCCTAGGGAGATAGATGTTGTATTTGGGGCTCCTGGCTGATTGTGTGCCTGGGTAACTAGAGTGTAAGCAGGGAGAAGTGAGCTAAAACCATGGTCTGACAGTCTGGGTAACTATGAAATTGCTCTGCAGGGGAGAGAGTTAAGAAGAGAAGAGACACAGGATAGGGCCACAAGGGCAACCTTGTAAAGATGCCTGGGGTCTGCTCAAGTAGCAGCCTGGAATGGTGCACAGAAGACAGTCTGAAGGTCCTGAGGTCTTTGCTATTTTTTGTGAGATAATTTTTTTTAATTTTTACCATTTAAAACAGACTTAGCCTTATTACTAAATAATTTGAAATCAGTGTATTTCTTCTTAATATTTTAAAAATTATTTGCTTCTATTCAATGTATTGTATTAAGTAAGAAAAAATTGCAGAGGTTGCCACTAGCACCTGCAAACCAATCAAACCCTGCAATCTGTGTTAACATTACATGGGCAACAGGGTGTTATCATGAGGAAAATAAATAACCTTTGTTGTTAACAAAATTCCTACCCCACATGATCCCATTTCTATTCATTGTTCTCTTCAAAGAGGCAATATGGTATCATATTGGAGAAGAAGACCGCAATGCTGGCATCATGAAGTTCTAGGTCTGCCACTCTTTCTGATACACTGTGTCATCTCAGGTCTTGTCCCTGGAGCAATGGATGTGTCGGTCCAGTCTGACCCTCAAAGTGTTGGGACTCATTAGAATGGAATCAAATAATGGGGGAAAAAGTTCCCTGCAAATTCTTTTTCAACCTTTTGATTGTAATAAGAAGAAAGGCTCAGTTTAGTCCTAATAAGTCCTTAACATTTCTTTACCATTTGCCAAACTATCTTTTAAAAAAGCTATTTCTAGAAGAATGTCTTTTTCTATTATATATATGTATATTGTATAGATACATATACATATATGTATTTTTATACACATATACACATATAAAAAGTTGTATTTAGGTACAATTGTTGTACACATTTAAGCATGTAATTTAATAAACATTGACTTACGAATACACCTGTGAAGCCATCACCACAATCAAGGAATCAACATATTCATCACCCCGGAAAGCTTCCTTGTGCCCCTTTGTAGTAAGTATCCAGCTCATTGAATTTTCAGATGCTGGATGAACTTCTGCAACCAACATGCAGATCAGGAAACCGAACTGACAAACCCTCCTTTCTGCTCCACCTTGGGATTCTGCAGCCTTTTAATGCCAGTAGTTTAGGTCTGTTAAGTGCTGCCCCAACTATAGTGTTAAGTTGTTTGAGTTCAGATCAGGCTTCATTTACCCCTGTGCAAACCACTTATCATCGTTATGACTTAATTACCTTATGTGTAAAATGAGTATAATAATATTGTGTACCTCAGAGAGTTAACCAGATAATCTTTGTGCTTAGAACTGACTGTTAATTTAGGGACTAGGAATGTCCAGTATACAGTTTTCAAAAGCTGTATATGTGAAAGTAAGTCTCCACTAATTATTATTAGAGAGAAAAGCTCATCCCTTTTCCTTTCTGCTGATCTCAGGCAAGGTGAGAGAAGGGACTATGTCAATAGGGATTCTGGAGGAGACTGGCATACAGTAGGTACTTAATAAATGTTTACTTGGTCATCTGGACTTTAAAAACTTGGACTTTATGAAGAGACATGTAAAGCTTGTTTATTTTTCACTTATGGCTTCTGATTTTGGTTAAAAGGACACCAGTTACCCACAAGAAGCAAATAAGCCTGTTCTGGTTTCTAGGAATGCAATTCTGGTTAGCCTGACAAACTGTTTGACCACTAGAAAGTCTCCCAAGAATAGTTTTTTGTTGGTGGTGGTTCTATGTAAAAAAATGGAGACTCAGCACTACGAAGCTATCTTGAATTTTAGGAAGGTGAAAAATAAATCAACGCTGAGGTGCTGCTAACATTTGTGTTCTTGATCTAGATGTTGGTTACATGAGATGTTCGTTTGTAAAAATTCATCAAGCTCTACACTTACTTAAAAATTATAGTATAATTTACATATATTACACACACCCCTATGTTTATCCCAGCACTATTCACAATAGCAAAGTTATGGAATCAACCTAAGTGTCCATCAACGGATGAACACTTAAACGGATAAAGAAAATGTGGTGTGTATACACAATTGAATACTATTCAGCCATTGAAAAGAGTGAGATCGTGTCATTTGCAACAATGTGGATGGCACTGGAACATTGCATTAAGTGAAATAAGTCAAACACAGAAAGACAAATATTGCATGTATTCACATGTGGGAGCTCAATAGATTGACCTCAGGGAGGTAGAGAGATACCAGAGGCTAGGAAGGATATGGGTGTGTGTGGGTGTGTGTGTCTGTGTGTGTCTGTGTGTGTGTTTTGGGGAGAATGGACTAAAGAGAGGTCAGTTAATGAGTACAAACATAGAGTTAGATAGGCATAAGTTCTAATATTCAATAGCAGGGTAGGGTGACTATAGTTAACAACCATGTGTTGTACATTTCAAAATAGCCAGAAGTGAGGACTTGAAACATTCTCCACACATAGAAATGATAAATTCTGGAGGTGATGAATATCCTAAATTCCCTGACTTGATCGTTACAGTGTATGCATGTAACAAAATATCACATATATCCCATAAAAATGTATGAATAGTGTGTATCAATAAAAAATAACACAGTAATAAACAAATCTAAAATGTATGATTTAATGCTTTAGTACCTATATTTGCAACCATGTGAACATCACCTAGATCAAGATCTACAATATTTCCATCACAGGTGAGAGTTCCCTTGTGTTCCTTTCCCCAGATATAAGCACATTCTGACTTCTATCACCACAAAGTTAGTTTTACCTGTTCTTGAACTTCATATAAATGGAATCATACAGCATGTATATACTCTTTTGTGTCTGACAATTTTCTGTCAGCATAATATTTTTGAGATGTACCCATTTTGTTATGTGTAGCCATAGTTCATTCCTTTTTATTAGTGACTAGTGTTCCATTATATGAATATATGCCACAATTTATCCATTCCATTTTGATGGACATTTTGGTTGTTTCCAGTTTTAGGCTATTATGAATAAAGCTGCTACGAACATTTATGTTCGAGTCTTTTTGTGTTCTTTATGTTTTCATTTTCCTTGGATAAATGCCTAGGAATGGGATGCTGCATATGTTTGTCTTTATTAGAAATTATAGAACAGTTTTGCAGAGTGGTCATGACATTTTTCAACAGGGGTGTTACGAGTTCCAGTCATTCCACATCATCACTAACACTTGGTATTTTCAGTCTTTTTGAAATTTATATATTTTTATACAATGTATTATGTGTACATATTACTTTAATAAAAAGTTAAAAATGAATCAACAATAAAAATGATGATGATTGTGTCTAATGGTGAAACTCTGAACCTTTAAATAAATTACCTGGATGTTTTGTTGACATCTGCCAGGAATCCAATAATTAAATGTTGTCCTATTTAATTGATGCATTTTTATTACACATTATGTAGAAAGATTAAGTGTTAACCTTGGGGTTGGTTAGGGAAAACTGTTTCTGAAAAATAGTCCCAAAGCTTCCTTGAGAAATATTTTTACTTCCATTTCCCTTTTTGTTTTGTAGAACTTATGATTCAGAATATTTTGACCAGAGCTCACTGGTTTTCTTCTTTCCCATTTCAGAGCATAAATGCCCAGTGGATGAGCGGGAGCAACTGGAAGAAACCTTGCCCCTGATTTTGGGGCTCATCTTGGGCCTCGTCATTGTGGTAACACTCGCAATTTACCACGTCCACCACAAAATGACTGCCAACCAGGTGCAGATCCCTAGGGATAGATCCCAGTATAAGCACATGGGCTAGGGACCATTAGGCAGGCACCCCCTAGTCCTGCTCCCCTAACTGGATCAGGTAGAACAACAAAAGCACTTTTCCACCTCGTACACGAGATACACCAACATAGCTACAATCAAACAGGCCTGGGTATCCGAGGCTTGCTTGGCTTGTGTCCGTGCTTGAACCCAGGGATGGGGAAGACTCTTTTGGATTTGTAGGGTGAAATGGCAATTATTCTTTCCATGCTGGGGAGGAGGGAAGGAGTGGCTCACACAGCTTTCATGCTCATGGTGGCTTGGCTTTGACTCTCCAAAGAGCAACAAATGCCACTTGGAGCTGTATCTGGCCCCAAAGTTTAGGGATTGAAAACATGGTTCTTTGAGGAGGAAACCCCTTTAGGTTCAGAAGAAGAGGGGTTCCTTTGCTCCCTTGGACACAGCTGGCTTATCCTATACAGTTGTCAATGCACACAAAATACAACCTCATGCTCCCTGCAGCAAGACCCCTGAAAGTGATTCATGCTTCTGGCTGGCATTCTGCATGTTTAGTGATTGTCTTGGGAATGTTTCACTGCTACCCGCATCCAGTGACTTTGCAGCACAAGAACACGATTAATGTAACTATGCAGAGTTGTTTGGACTTCTTAATCTGCCAGGTCCAAGTCAGGGGACCTGAAGAATCAATCTGTGTGAGTTTGTTTTTCAAAATGAATTAAAACACACTATTCTCTGGCCTTTGGCTGCTTTCTTGAAACAAGAAAACAAAGCTAAAATGGTTTCTTTGGCATCCAGATGAGAAAGAGGAAAAGATGAAGACGGATTTTGCATGTTTGCAAGAGGAAAAGTAAAGAGAAGGCAGGGAAACAATGAGGGGGAAGTTGGCTTTTCTAGGTGAAAAAAACATGGATTTTTGTTTTGGCAAATATAAATAGTTTTAATAATGGCCCTTTTGACCAGTTGATCTAATATTGCTTCTGATGCTTCTTGGTCTTGAGTTTGGCATTTCACTTTGGATTAAAAAGGTGGACTGGATGTAGTAGCCTAAGTTGAGTTCTATTTGAAGGAAAATTCCTAGAGAAATGCACATAGTCTGAATTTCATTCCCTTTCTAAATAGTCATTTTTTTCCCAGAATGTCTGAGTGGGACTAGGGAAAATATTTTCTCTGGTTTTAGAGTAGGATTCTCTCCCTCCACATATACAGTCTCCACCATATGAGAGGCAGCTCCTAAACTCCTCTCCCTAAGTCTTCAAACTGCTCACAATAGGGTGTCCTCAGAAGTTCATTATCCCAGCAATCTCACCAAGTATCATCCAGTTGCTGTCATATTACCCATTTGTCTGCTGTTCTATTAACCACAATCTTCTTGTCTTCATGATCTCTCTTCAGTGTCTGCCTGTTACCAGTGAGGGAAAATGTCCAATTCCTCCTAAAGTTTCCATGTTGCACAAGGAAAAAAATACCTTTGGTGAAAACTCTAAAGATGGTTAACTCCATTCTTATACTCATCTGTGGTCTGTGATCTTCTCACCCACATTCCCCAAACTTGACAAACCTTTTCCATTTTAGCATTGCAGTATTTTCTTTAAATGTTATATTCCTTATTTGGACCCGTCTGAATATTTAGGAGAGAAATGGACATTTAGATTTATTTAGGACTTCACAGTGAGTTACCATTCCCATCTGCAACCTTTTTGAAAAAGAAATCTTTTTTTTTTTTTTTTTTTTTGAGACGGAGTCTTGCTCTGTCGCCCAGGCTGGAGGGCAGTGGCCGGATCTCGGCTCACTGCAAGCTCCGCCTCCCGGGTTCACACCATTCTCTTGCCTCAGCCTCCCGAGTAGCTGGGACTACAGGCGCCCGCCACCTCGCCCGGCTAGTTTTATGTATTTTTTAGTAGAGACAGGGTTTCACCGTGTTAGCTAGGATGGTCTTGATCTCCCGACCTCGTGATCCGCCTGTCTCGGCCTCCCAAAGTGCTGGGATTACAGGCTTGAGCCACCGCGCCCGGCCTGAAAAAGAAATCTTAAACCTTTCTGAGTCATATGTCTGAAAACCCCCTTGTGTATGTTTTTCTTTAAACTTGCTTTCACAAAACATAAGACTTATTATTAGTTTTGGAATTGTCATGTAATTACATCATTGTTATGTAAATATACATAACACCTACTATTGTTTTGAGCACCTATTGAGTACAGGCTCAGTAGTGCTATAAAGTAATAAACTTGGCCTTAGTTTCTCTGAGGAAGGACTGACAAGAGAACAAACAACATACAACAAATATGTCATTTTCAAAAATGTCAGAGTGCCCTGGCTCTTTAGAAAGCATTGGCTCATGACCACATCCCTGTGTCTCAGCTACTTCAATCTTTCCGGAATCCAAATAACAGTGATTTTTCCACAAGTAATGTGCAGGATGTGTGAAAAGCCATTATTACGATTACTGTTATGACTATCAATATTGTTTACTATGCCATTTTTATCTAGCTATTTTAAAATTGTATCTCAAACTCAGCCTAGTTGACTTTGAACCACACCTTACTTCTCTCAGCCATGTCTTCATCTTTATCGTTAACTAAACACGATAAAGGGGAGCCTCATAACATACAGAAAGAGCAGTGGTCTCTGGACACATCCGTGCCTGGCATTCTCCCAACTCAGGGTGTCCAGGGAGACTGACTCCACCCTGGACCTCAGCTCTGGGCCCTCTCCACACCCATTGTCATTGCCATTGTCCTAACATTTTGCAGCTGCTCCTGGGCCAGGAATAGGCTGAGGCAATGACCCATTTGTCTGCATTGCTTCTCAAGCTTCAGAGACAGGGAAGAAAACAAATAGATAAACCACAGACACTCAATTACCCCTTGAACTGTCATTTTTCTTTTTTACTGGGATTTTAAACACAAACGCCTGTGGGCACAAGAGGATGTTGGGCCTGGTTGCTGGGTATGCCTGCCTGGAAAAGCCAGGCCAGATGAACCATATGTGGATTTCTCTTGAGGGAGGGTGACTTTGATTTAAATTCAGAGCATGGTTCTTTGCAGGATTCCCTCAGTCCCAGGAAACACTTCCCAGTGAAACAGCCTCAGAGGGGCAGGGAGCACTTGCTTATCTGGAGCCTAAGAACGCCCTCTGAACTATCATCTCTCTCTTTTTGCCAATTGTCCAATCTTTCCATTAGCAAAGACTTGGCAAACCCCATGGGTGTAGGAAGAAACACCCGAGAAACGTGAATGGAGAAAGGGGAGGAAAGACGACAGGAGTGACCTGCAGTGTCTGGGTGAAGACGCTGCATGTATAGGGGTGGGTTTTACCAGGCAGGCGGTTCAAACTGGTGTTGTGCTCAAACATTTCCCTGGAACAAATACCAAGCAACCTGGGCCAGAGAGAGCTTTAAATCATTGTGTCTTAAAGTGCATTCAAAGGCACCCTGTATTAGAATCATCCTAGGAGACTTTTTGAAAGATGTTAGTTCTAGGGCATCATCCCAGACATTATTTGAGAATCTCGGTGGTGAGACCCTAGAATCTGTTGTTTTACTCTGCTCCCCAGATAATGTTGATGGAGAAATAAGGAGACTTCTGGTTAAAAAGCCTTTACTATCAGTGTATGTGCAACATTATCCAAATTATTGGGCTTCTCTGGGTTCATGTTTTTTTCATCTGAAAGTGAAGCTTACTCCTCTATCCTTGCAAAGTTATTTGAGGACTCATGAAGCACCTGGAAGTCCCTAGCACAACGCCTGTCACACTGGAGAGGCTCTCTAAAAATTGCAATTAGTGGCATTTTGCTAGCACAATTCTTAACATGTATGTTCCAATTTTACCTGCCAAACAAGAGGTCATGAAAGATTCAAAGGGACTAATACAAGAGTTTTAAATCTGACTTCCACAGTTTTCTGTGTCAATTTATTTTGGATTCAGAGAATTTTTACGCAGGGATTCCCCTCCATCTCAGTTCAGTAAATCACTCAGGGGCTGTCAGTTTTGGGGTGAGGGGATCTGTCAGAGTTTATGAACTTGGATGGAAAAAATTACACCTCCAGTTTTTACTAACCTCAAATGAAAGGTAGAATTTCCTTCAGTGGTGAACATGGGCATTAAACCACTGCAGTATAGGCAAATCTGTGAATTTGTCATCAATAGAAATAGCCACATTACACTTGCCAGCTATAACTCAAAAGAATCATTTATACTCATAACTTCGAAATTATGGTAGTTATTTGACCCATCAAAAGATCTTGTTATTTAAGGCATTATAGCCACGTTTTAAAATTGTGATAATGATACTTCAATCAGTTTCTTTTTTTTTTTTTTGTAAGCCTACGTATTTTACTTTATGCATTAAAAAACTTTTCTGAGAAGGAGTTTATAAGCTCAGACAGCCAAGAGGGTCCAGGGTCAATGGTACTTGAGCTGTCATTTAAAGTGACAGAGCCTGTCAGGTTGTTTGCTGGTGAAGCTTTACAAAGGCACGCATGACAGATGAGATCATAAGTATTTCTTAGCACTGATCTTGTGCTTTCTAGACACTGCTCTGGGTACTGGGACATAGCAGTAAACAAAATACATAAGAACTCCTGTCCTCATGGAACTGAAATATGTGGGGGGTGTGTGTGTGTGTAAGTACGCACACATGCATGTGTGTATACCTGTCTATTTAGGTACAGTTTGAGCATCCCAAATCAGAAAGTCTGAAATCCAAAATGCTTCCAAATTCAAAACTTTTTGAATGTTAACATGATGCTGAAAGAAAATGCTTCTTGGAGCACTGTGGATATCAGATTTTCAGATTTAGGATGCTCAATTGGTAAATATAATGCAAATATTCCAAAATCTGAAAAAAAATCCAAATTCAAAACACTTTTGGTCCCAGGTATTTCAGGTAAGGGATACTCAGCCTGTATTATGATTAATGTGCTGTCATTACCTAACTCTTTGGGGCCTTGGTTAACTCAGTCTAAGTGAATCATATAAGATCTTGAAGTCTTTTCTAGCTTTAAGTTTTTAGAAATGCAGACAATGATGAGGCATAATGATCAAAACATTTGTCTTGTGAGAAAATCTTTCAGGATAAGAAATTTCTTTGCTTTTAGAACAGCATACTTTGATCCAGAAATCAGCAACCTGTAGACTTTCTCATGTCCTCTATTTGTCTTTAGTTTGGTCGGTTTATGTAGGAGATTCTCTCAGGGTCCCACTCATGTTCCCTCAGCCCTTCCTGGAGGTCATTGCTGTGTCAATTTTAGCAAAGGCAAACTTTGCCCAGGTGCAGTGCAAGGAGAGTTGATGCTGCAGGAACAATTCTCACCTAATGATGGATAGGAGATAATTAAATATACCAGTGCCCCCTTCAAGAAAGACAATTCTCAAGTGTCTCTCAGAAGGTCACCAATGGGATTGAACCCCAGTTGCCTATTGTGGTATCCCATTCATTAAAACACACTTTCTCGACTTTGTACTCCTCTTTGTCTTACTTCTTCACTCTGCCATGTTGACATTCCTGGGATCATCTCCCAAATAATGTATTTGAAGTATTTGTGTCTAAGTCTTTATCTGAGCTCTTCTTTTGGCAGCATCTACACCAAGACAATGTACTCATCTGACTTGGAAACACAACTCAACATGCACACATTTCACGGATCAAATGAACTGATTTTCCTGCACAATGTGGATTTGTACTGTGTCATGTCACTTCCACAAAATTTCTCCTGCTTGTATATTTTGTATCTGCTTC